TCCAACAGTCACGGCCAAGTCCTAACCGGGAGAACCCGCAGTCCTGTGGGCCACACTAGTCCAACAGTCACAGCAAACAGGGCAGGGAAGAAAGGAAGAGCTAAGGGTGACCTACAAACAAAGCAAAACATATCCCACCAAGTCAGTAGTTAAACCTCATTATAAACCAGGCTAATACAAATAAACTAAAATTGTTTTGAGACATCTGGAGAATATTGACCCGGAACATTTGATATTATCTAGAAATTACTGTTAGTTTTTAGGAATGGTAATGGTATATGAATATCTTTTAGCAGAGAATATTGAAATATTCATAAACAAAAGAATATGATGGCTTGGATATGCATCCAAATAACCTGAGTTAGGAGGTTACTAAGTACAGCATGAATGAAGCAAGAATGCTCTTAAATCTGAGGCCAAATTGTCCTCTTTTATTTCAAGTGAGTGATTAAGCCAGAAGCTGGGAGGGGATATTTACAATCCCCCTAACTGAAAGGGATATATAAAGAACTGCTACAAATCAAAACAATAAATACAGTCTAACAGAAAAGTAGCCAAAGCTTATGAGAAAGAAGTCGCAGAAGTGGGGCCTCAAATGAGCAACAAGCAAGTAAAGATGGTCGACCTCACCGTGATCGGGGAGACACAAGGAAGGGTGTCTATGGAGAAGCACAAAGTGCTTTACCTCTGCTCTTACCCCTCAACAATCAACACACATGGATTTCCCACACAAATAAGCAAGCAAGCAATTCTGTAGCAGACAGCAGCTGGAGTCCCCCAACCCAATTCTGACCCCATCTACCTGGAGATGGCCTCAGGCCTCACAGAGGGCAGGCTCGGTCCTACCAGGCCACCCTACTTCCGATGCCAGTCAAAAGCCTCAGGTTATTCTACCTCTGCCTCTGACTGACAGCTGTAAGTGGGGCCGTGAGACCCATGGATCCAGAGCAGCTCCCAGAACACAGGGAGACATGGCTTAGGTGTTATGGCTTCCTATGAGGCAGTTCACAGAGAACACAGATGAACAGGTGCACAGGCCAAGGTATGAGAAGGGGCGTGGGGCTTCCCTGCCCTCTCCAAGCAGCTCACCCTCTAGAAAACTGCACCAGCTGAGCTGCACAGAAGCTCCCTGGACCCCAGCCTCCTGGGCTTCTCCTGGAGACTTCACTGGACAGGCACGACTGAGGCAGAGACAACCATGCAGAAACATGACTGCACAAAAAGGGCAAGATCTAACAGACCGAGTGGGGAGACCAGCAAGGCCTGTCCACAGAGCCTTCCTGACCTCCGTGTGCAGCAATCCTTCCTCCAGACAGGGGCAAGACCCTCTGAAATGGGGGTCTTATGACCTATGATGGAACAAGGTAGGTCAGAGAATTTTTTTATGAAAAGGCAGAGGAAAATTGGAGCCCTGCGTTGGCGAGAAAAAGGACAGGAGAAGGTCAGAGAGAATCTGTTTTCTGAGGTATGCTTCTGAGTCCTAAAATACCCCAACATTATAACAAAAGACTGGAACAAGGGCTATGGGAATTACGTGGCAGGGGCCATGAGGAAAACCAATATATATGCATTACAGTATCACGGTGGGGATGTAACAGTGTGATCAGGACTCCGCACACTGACAGAGGGGTCATAAATAGGTATTGTTACTTTGTAATGGGGGAAAACTCAGTCAAGTTTAAGACACCATAACCTAAAACTCTGCAATTTCACACTTAGGCACTGACCTTAATGAAATACTTAGGTATGGATCTAGGAAGTGATAACAAATGGCTGCTAACATCATAGAAAGAGAGACAGCAGACATTATGTGTCTCTTGATAGTAAACGCAAGCCCAACATGACAGTCATGTCACCATAAAAAGCAAACCGGAATCCACGTCTCTAGATTCAAATGCCAATTTAAGGAAATAAAAGAAATGGCAGAGCGTATCAAACAATGCTACAGCAATATAATCAGAAAAATTCAGCTGCTGAAAAACTTTATAAGGCAAATCTCATGTCTTCAACGAGAGAGAGAGACAAGGAAGGCCTCTACAAATGAAAACACACACAAGATAGTAGCCAAATTCACAGAGACAGAAAGGAGAATGGTGGTTGCCAAGGGCTGGAGGGAGGGGGCAGTAGGGGGTTAATTTTAACGTGGACAGAGCTTCAGTTGGGGAAGGCAAAAAAAGGTCTGCAGACGGGCGGCTGCTCAGCATGTGAACGCACTGACTCCCATGGAAATGGACACTTAAAGATGGTTTTGTGTTCAGCATACTGTTCTGAAAGATGAACAAGAGACGTATCAGCAACTATAACGTATGCACCTTATGGACTGTGAATCAAAACAACTAAAAAGTTTTAACAGAAAATTAATAGAACAATTTTTATAGATAATAGTTACAATAGAAAATTTGAATGCTGACATCTGATAATACACAGGAATTACTGGTAATGGGGGTGATAATGATATTGTATTTATGTTTTCTTGTTTTTAAAAATAAATACTAGGATGTTTATACAAGAAAAAAATCCCATATTTGATTCAAATGGTACAGAAGGTAACTTGAAACAGACCTGGCCATGACTGGTAACAGGTCACCTTGACAACAAAAGCTCGAGAACACCTTCTTCTCATCTGCCTAACCTCTGGGTACTTAACATTTTACCTAATCACGAAGTCTTAAAATGAAGAAGTTACTATACTCATGCCAAGTGTGAGATGCTCACAGCATCATGGCTTATAATAGCAGAACACTGAAAACATCCCAAATGCCTACAGACACCAGACTGAAACCAAAACACTGTCTTGCCTACTATAGAGGCAAGAAAGTGAGCGGACTAGATCAGGGATGTCAACCACTCAACCTAGTTCTGAAAACCAGGAGACATCTGGCAATGTCTGGAAACACTTGTGGTTGTCACATGTGGGGGACGGGTTGGGGAACAGAAAGCTATCGGCCTCTAGTGGGTAGAAACCAGGGCTACCACCCCCATGATGCTCAGAATAGCCCTACAACAAAGAATTACATGACCCAAAATATCAACAGAGCCGTGGATGAAAACCATACACCATCTATGTGGGATACTCCTCAAACCATAACATGGAATTAAAAACAAAAATAAGTGGCAGCCAGGCACAATGGCTCAGGTCTGTAATCCTAGCACTCTGGGAGGCCAAGGTGGGAGGATCCCTTGAGCTCAGGAGTTTCAGACCAGCCTAAGCAAGAGCGAGACCCCAGCTCCACTAAAAATAGAAAAATTAGCCAGGCATTATGGTGGGTGCCTATAGTCCCAGCTACTCTGGAACCTGAGGCAGGAGGATTGCTTCAACCCAGGAGTTTGAGGTTGCTGTGCGCTAGGTTAGGTGACAGAGGAAGATGCTGTGCCCTCCTTCCCCGAAAAAAGTGGGAAATAGATACGCACAAGTCATGTCATGCAGGCAAACGTTACATACACAAAACCAGAACAAGACCGTCTACTGCTCACAGACATGTAACTACACAGCAAAATATGAAACATGGAGAGGAAGCTATACGCCAATCTCAGGATACAGATTACCAGAAGGAGAAGCAGGAAATGTCACTTCAACAGAATTTGTAACATTTATTCTCCCCTCTCCCACCTCAAAAAAAGCAGGTAAGGGGTAGGTTAACCTGGCCAGCAGGTACACGATGGTCACTCTTTTAATCCTCGTGCTTTTCCTTACCCTTGACATCCTTACCAGTGAGCCAGCTCAGCAGTGGGGCTATAGCAGCAGAGGCTGTGTGGACAGAGAGGGGCAGGCAGCGGGGCCCAGGCCTTGCTGGGAGAGCACTTACCGGCCCCCGCAGATCGATGAGCTCCTGCCTCATCTGGGACACGAGGGCTTCCTTGGCCACCAGGGCCCTGTGTAGACGCTCGTTGAATTCGATCAGCTCACCGTGCATTTCCGCCACCTGGAACACAAGCATGGAACAGTGAGGCCAGGAGGCAGACCTGCCCTGGGGATGTGCCCTGCCCTTTCCAGTCCCTCCTTCCTGCCGCTTGTCAGTAAGGCCCATGCGGGTTGTCGGGTGAGAGCCGAGCACTACTTTCCTGCGGGCCGTGGAAATCCACCCACAAGTTGAATACATTTTGCCTTGCTTGATTTTAAGGCTTCAGAGTCAACAGGTCACAGTATGTGGTCAGAATAGGACTGTATTAGATCAGTTTTGGACCTCAGGCTTTGAATCTTAACTAGTGAACACTTTACTAGAAAAGGCTTTCTTTCTAAGTCCTTCCTGTAAGCATTCCAAATTGTATATAAATCAGCACATTGTACCCTATCATAAGTGCATTAATGTACACAGTTATGAATTAATTAAAAAAAGAACTTCTCAATTACAATTTGAACTTTACCTTAGAAATGCAAACAATAGAACCCCATCATTTGTACCTTCATATTAATCTGAAACTAAAGAGAAAAGGAATTTCCCTAATAGCATCATGAAAAAAACTCTGGCCATTCTGTTCATCAGGTTCAAGGGCCTGAAAACCAAGAAAACAGGAACCAGAGCCTAATGAGGCTAGTGAAGACAGTGGTGACAGGCTAAACTACAGCATCACAAGTGGCCTCCCGGTCCACTCTTTGTCAGGATAAATGTCTCCTGCGTGCTCTTCACAGCTGCATCACGCCAGCACTCTGAGGCAGATGTTACTATCCCCACTTTACAGAACAGACCCTGGAGCCCTGGCTACGTGCTATGCTTCTTCCATTCTACAGTGCTGGACGCAACCCATTCTGGCCTGCTGTGGACCCTTGCAAGACGCTCAGCTGATCCTGAATAAAAATGGAGGTGACTATAGGTATTCTATCATCAGTGTATAGACTACTCAACTATAATTTATTTAAACGCTATAGAGAGATGTGAGATCCTGCTATATTTTCCAACCACATGGAATGAAGAATCTTGTAAGCATTTTAAAGAGAAGTCCCCAGAATGTGAGGCCACACAGACCCTCACCCACCTGGCCCTCTGTCCTTCCCAAGAGATCAACCCACAGTTTATACCCAAGGCTTCACGTAAGCATTACTACATAGGACCCAACACAAAAATAACGAGGTGATTTGCATAAGTACTTTGCACGAGATGTAGGAGATACTGTCAGAGTAAAGAAGGGACAGAGGGAGCATCTTTATGAGGAAGGGAGGTCTCTAAGCTGCGCTTCACTCAGGCAGAGTAATAGGGAGCCCTCCTTTCTTGTTACAGAAAGGGAAGTCACAGAAGAAAATACACAACAATATTAGTCATGCTGTGTGTTTCCTTCCTGTTCTTTTATATTTCCTTAAGTTCCCATTCATCAGTCAGACAAAGCACTTAGACTCGTTCAAGAATTAAAATCCTCACCTGAAATAAAAGGGAACCACTGTGCTATCAACACAAAGTGATTAGGCACCTCACTGTTATCTGGATGGTTCCATCAACTTGCTCCGTGAGTCCCCACTCATAGGCACCCCCTCTGTCCAGAGGTGTCGACCTCTTTCAAATCAGGGCAAAAAACTAAGTGAAAATGGCACAAAAGCTACTGCAAGAACCACACAATCAAGAAAGGGAGAATGAGTCACGGAGCCTTTCATCAGCTTTTTTCTTTGTACAAACCTAAAATTAATATTCCCCAGTTGCCTTATTCCTTTTGGATAAGAAAAGCTCAAGTTGATCATCTTTTGGCCTTGAACAAACAAATACAACATCACTAACAACGCCCATGCGCGTCCTCCACACACAAGTCACGTCAGCCCCCCATCCGCGTCCTCAGGACTAGAAACCCATTTCCCTGGGACAGGCAGGAAGCACCAAGCTGCCAATGTCACTGGTAAAGACCTGCTAACGCGTCTGCCACTCTCATTTCCAAAGCAAAGTGGGGTTTTGTGTTCTGTGTTTGTTTTGCACTTGGAGCCAGGGTGTTACAACAGTTTTCCGTAAATGCATAAAACATGGAAAAATCCCAGCTTTCAACCAATGTTTGCCATGAGCTATAAAACCCTGGTTTTCTTCTGCAGCCAGAAGAGTAAATAGGACTTGACCATGTCAGATAAACTTTTCATTTCGCCAGGAAATGAAAAATAATCTGATCAAAATGAGAAGATAAAATTTGATAAAATAATTTCCAGCAACCATTAAAACTATAATGTTCATTCTCCCAAATACAAAGTTAAAAATAAAAAAACTACATCATTACTAAACTAACCTCTGAAATTGTTTTATATTACATATCCCTATCTATAGCCATTGATATAAACCACACTAAGCTTACTGCTCCTTGAATGACTATTTCCAAACTCCAGTATAACTAGAAATAAACTGAAGACTCAGAAAGAGCCTCAGAAGAGGAATATGAGATCACAAACAGTTCCCATTGTCATAAAAATAACAATAGGCTGCCTCTTAGAATTTTTATGAGGTTCTGAGGGCATTTATGAGTCTCATTTCAACTTCTTATTCTCAACTGAATATGGGCAAAAGAGGTGCCTTCCATTCCATCCACTCAAGCAGGCAGAGGTGATCTTCTCAAAGGACGCTCTGATATGATCACCAGCTGTTTAATCCCTTCAGTGCTTCCACTGCCGTAAGGATAAAATCCCAAACTCTTTCAAGATGCTGCCCCAAGCTCTCTCCCCAAACCCATCTCTCCCTCTCAGCCCGCACAGCCTTCTCTGTTCCATAAGCATGTCAAGTTCTAGGAGGTCCCCTGTAGACACAGAGGGGGACGGCATGTCCAGCACGAGAGCCACAGGTACAAGGGCTGATCCCGCAGTTGGCAGGGAGGGCCTGAAGAAGGTGGTTAAATCGCCTTAACAAAATGAGCAAATGGCTCAGGAAATGTGGACTGGAGATAATGGAAGACTGGCCTGAGCTTCAGTGACTGGAAGTGTGCTCCAAAGCATGCCCGAGGCTGCTCCCTATAGACGCAAACTCCTGGGTTCAAGTGATTCTCTCACCTTGAGACTACAGGTGTGCCCTACAATGTAGCTAATTTTTTTTTTTAAGGGATGGGGGTTTCACCAAGTTTCCCAGGCTGGTCTCAAACTTCCAGCCTCAAGCAATTCTCCCACCTCATCCTCTCAAAGCACTGGGATTATAGGCACCTGGTCAACATCTATCAAGTTTTTCAGACGATTCACCTTTGACTTGGCAAATCATTGCTGGGTAGTCATCCTGCCTTTCTACTTGCACGTGTGTTCAAACTACAAGTTTAGCTCCAAATGATTAGAACCTATGTAAGAGTCCAACCAAAGGGGACTGCTGAAACATCCCAGGGTCCTGCTCTCCTACTGACTGGCCCTATGGCAGACAGCACCGTTGAGCCACTGGCACGTCGTCCTGAGAAGACACCAGGCTGCCATGACCTGTAAGACAATACCTATTTGTAGCCCAGGCCCAAAAGACTGGGGAAAGCATCAACAGGAAGGCGACATTTGGGTTGGGCTTTGCCAAATGATGCCTTTGGAGCATCAGGGACTCCTTCCAGCTGGAGTTTCAGGGAAGATGATCTCCCAAAATAATGTGGCTGTGAAAAAGCTTTTAAGCCTGTGAAAATACCAGGAATTATCATAATTACCTGCCAAATCATGAAAGGATTATAAGTTTTTTTTTTAAGCCTCTGACATTTCCTTTCATATCAGTATGTTCTCACTATCTAATAACATTCAAATAAATCATGCGTCATCCTCCTTTGGCTAACAAATTAGACACTTCTTGATTGATTAGATCAAGGCACTCCGCCCCCCCCAATATCAGCAGCAACTGAGGCTCTTCTGGTCACATATCCAAACTCTCCAAGAACAATCACTTAGATACCTCAGAATTTATTTAAGTTTTATAAAACTTACAAGGCTATTTTTTGGCCCTGTTTACACTGGCTGTGAGGAGAGACCTAGGATCTCATTCTGTGATTGACTACATTCCACCTGCCTGGTTACAAATGAATGTAGTTACTGCCCACTTGGCCTTAACACACTTGGGTGTAGCAGCCCCGTTAGGCCTCTTGCAGGCATTAGGTACACCAGCTTGTGCCCCTTCCAGCAGGGCAGCCATGCCTTCCTGACCCATGAGGCTCAAAGGTGGGATCGTCAGCCCCAGGTGTCAGGGTCAGAAAGTGAAAGGGTGGGGAACTAGACCCCACCTTATGCCCTACTATGTGGGTTCTTTGGACTCCATTTCAGGTATAATGGCCCCTTGGATGGTTAAAGAAGATAAGTTTGTCCCTCAGAGTGGAGGGAAATGCCAGTGTCTCCCCACCCAATTCATCATTAGTCACTAGGAGAGCTTGTGAAAAATGCAGATTTCTGGGCTTCAGCCCAGAAATTCCAATTCAATAGACTGCAGGAAGGAATCCAGAGAAGTATGTTCTAAAGGCCTCTGTGACTGCAGTGATCAACCAGAATCAGGAGCCACTGGCAAGACAACAAAAGCAGCTCACAGACTCGACGCTGAACTGCAGGTGGGGCATCCTCAGTTCCTCATCTGTAAACAGGATGCCACAAGAGGCTCTCCACTCCTCAGCGCTCTCAACCTCTGAACTCTCACTGATATAAATAAAGCCAATAAAGCCATGGGCCAAAGAGAATTTTCATGAACCCTGCCTGCCAACAACAGATGACAGAACAGTCATTCCTCGGTATCCTTGGGGATTGGTTCTAGCACTCCCCACAGATGCCAAAATCCAGATGCTCAAGCAACTTCTGTACATGCCACAGTATGTGCAAAACCTACACACATCCTCCCATATACTTTGCATCATCTCCTGATTACTCACAATACATAATATAATGTAAATGCTACGTAAAGAGTTGTCATACTGTATTGTTTAGGGAATAATAAGAAACAAGGTCTGTACTCATTTAGTACAGATGCATTTTCCCCCAGAATATTTCGATCCACAGTCGGGTAAAACTATGGATGGAGGACCCACAGGC